GTGTTGTCGGGCTCCCGCTGCGCCTGGATGCATCCAGGCCTCTCTCCACGCCGCCATCTGCTGAAAGCGGTCACCCGACAGCGCAGTATATATTGGGCTAAGATTGGTGATGGGCCGCGTCTGGTCCACTGTGGCCAACCACACTTCATCAGGTTCGATTTCTTCACTATGATCAACTTCAGGATCCCATTTTGGCAGACAGCTTGCGATACCCAGAGTCATAACCTGCGGCCAATTCATCCATTGATCTTCCACTGCTTTGAGCAAGAGCGCGAACAAGTTATATATGCATACTGGTAGCGTTCTCAACTCACCAATACGCCAACCACCCGCAGCAACAGCACGATGCGCACCTGCTCTATTGAGTTGTCCCTGGAGGCGCGCACCTGCGACGCCCTCAATGTTGCATGGCTTGGCTTCGATATGTTGGCCAAACCGCGCTTTGAAGGCATCCCAGTCATGCAGCGCATTTTGTTGAAGATAGTATGCCAGAATTTGTCAACCTCCCCCAGAATCTGCGCGCGCTGTGTGACGATTCTTTTGCCTTGAAATCCTCGCACCGCATGAAGAGTATGATACTGCCGCTGCTTGATCCACGAATAGAGGTCTCTTCCACCTTCAAAACGGAGTGATCGTCGTAGCCACTTTCTCCATGCATCTGTTCGGGCCTGTTTTCTTTCTTTGACTATCTGTGCGTGTCTTTGCTCAGGTTGCTGCTGCCAGCCTGTGATGCTGCTGAGGTGTGGGAATCCCACTGGTAGCTGATCTTGGCTGAATCGCAATGCTCGCTGTACTTGTGGTCGTACTTTGTCCCAGAGCCGTTGTGCACTGAGACGCTGCAACATTGTGGGTGGTGCAGTAGAATGCCCACACTCAGGTATATATCTGCTGATTTGAGCTGCCAACTCCATCAATCTGGATTTGATATTCTCAAGCTTGCGCATTTGAATAGTGGACGGCCCTTCACGTGCTGGGCCCCGCTTCGCGTTCACGGGGGGCGTCGTCGAGAACTCGATCACTTCTGGCACCGGGCAGCGTACGTGGTAACGATGATCGAAACGCACGCCTGTGTGATCAAGCCGCTTCTCCAGGAACATCTCGCCTATGAGGCCGACTTGTTTCCAGGCTTCACCTGGTAGTTCATCTTCCAACGCACGCTCAAATGTCTCATAATATTGTTCGATCCATGCTTGCCCAATTTTCTCGTTGACCTCGGTGGAGATCTTCTTGAGCGCCTCGATAGGATACACGAGGGATAATCGTAGTCTTTGCCAGCTCTCCTCAAGTTGCGTCACATTGATAGTGAGCTCCAAACCAAGATGTGAGCAGATCCCCAGATCACGCCGTCGCCGACATGAATGAATAGCTTCACGCGCAGCTGCGTTGGCAATAATCAAGTCTGGACGGCTGACATTCGTACCAAGTGAGAAGTTGTCCCAACTCGGATCTTGGCCATATGTCGGTTCACTGCCATAGATAGCTCCAATATCATGCCACCGCCCTGTTGCTAGAGCAGCTGAGAGCATCGATGATTGGGAAATTGTCGTATTAGAGTCCACGCGCAGAAACACCGCCTGGTCTCCAAGCGATTCGGCATCCTCGAAAGCGTACTGCAAGTTTCTGTTGCTGCGTGTCCTGATCAATACATCGTTTCCAGATTCATTATGCAAAGATACAATATGGATCGGAGTACCACCAATAAGAACCAACTGCCTCAACCACCTCGTAGTTTGGTATAGTTCACGCGCAGCGCCATATCTTTTCCCACAATTAATAGCCACCACATCGTGTTTAGTAAGAATAGCAACTCCACCTTGCGCACTCCGTGATGCCTTTTGCCCATGACAAACTTGAGCACGTACGGGTAGCCCAAAGCTGGCTCGATGACGCACTGCTGCACGCGCTTTTTTCACATCCAAGTTGCTCTCGCAGGCTGAGTCCCTACCGACATACATGACATTCTTCCGCTGAATGTATTCCAGCTGGTAATATTTGCAGAAATTCGTGTAGCCATCCTCGCGGCTGGAAATGGGTCTGGGCTGCCAGCAGGCTGCTTGCCTCGCAGTCGTCTGGAGGTCATCATTGCGGCGGATCAACTTGCATGGGGGCGGCCTCCGAGGTCTCTGTGAATCGCTTTGCCAGGCGCTCAAGATCCTCGTCATCCTTCTTCTCCTCCTCCATGAGAACATCAGTACCTGCACGTAGTAAAGTGAAGCATTTTGGAAGGCCTTACCCCTGAAGCTGGAGCTGCGTCATGATTCGTTTGTTTTGTTCTGCCAAAGCTGCACCAATTGCATCCGCAATGAACTTCTGGAAGCCCGCTGAGAGCCCACTGCCTGCTGACGACGCCGGCGTCGGTGGTGGCGGTTGCTCATGTGGTTGCTGTGGTCGTGCTGGTGCTGCTGGTCGTGCTGGTCGTGTAAGTTGCGCTGCGAGGATGGAGATTGCTGCTGCTTGCTGGGCTGGTGCTCGCTCGCTCGGCTTCTTCTCAGTAAACTTTGTATCAATATACACCCATGCTTTTGATACTGGTGCTGGGGCCTCTGGTTTCTTGACTGCATTGATCGTAGCTTGGATATCGCCAAGGGGAAAATCTGACACCTGTGGTGGCCCTGCAGCTCGCACACGAATAACTGGAGTCGATAAAGATCCTCACCTGTCTTTCGTAGACTGACAAATTCGGCTTCCCATCCCAGTTGCTGGGACAGTGCGCTGACAAGTTGCTTTCCTTCCACCAGCTGTGGCAGAGGTGAGATCTCATAGAGTGACGGCGCAGGTGGGGCACGTCCCTGTAGGGCTTGCCACGCCGCCTGTGCCTTCGTTTTGCAGAATCGGAAGAAAAGGGCGCCATTGGCTTTGTAACCCAAACCTCGGCCCCCCTCCAAGACTGCTGTCTGAGAAATTGCATCCGTCAACGTCGTGCCACGTGTGATGGGCACGAAATCCTCTGTGTTCTTCTCCTCGTCCAGCGCTCGGCTTGGTACACCCCCTGCACGGGATCGTTGGAATATGATGCCATCTGGTCCAGATTCAGCTCGCAGTGCTTGAGCTCTCACTGAAGTAGTTTTGAACAAACCTGATATTATCCTCTGACCAGGCTGCTCGTCGTTGAAAACTCTGCCACTCCACGCCCTCAAATCGATATCTGGACCATGAATTTGCACTGGGAGCTTCGCCGAAACGATTCTCGCCAACTCACTGTCCAGAACACGCCATGGTGGAGGTGACTCGTACTTGCGCTGTCCAGGTGACCCCTCAGCGCGTCGGTCACGCGCTGCCGTCGCCTGCTTGTGTAATTTGCACAGATATTTGACGAGCTTCTCCGTGCAATGGGCCTCGAGAATGGCAACATTCATGAGCTCATCTTGGGAGCAGGTGATTTTGTTGGCTTCTTTTTCGGGACAACAACTTCGTTTTGCTTCCCACCGTATTGCCAGACATACAACTGCTTGATTGTGCGCCTGCCATCGCTTTCAAGAAGAGGTACATGCATAAGACTGATGGCCGACGCAAGTCCACGTTGGCCACATATGAGATACAAATCTTTAGGCACCTGAGACGGCGCCTGAGCTAGCACGAAGCCGAAGGGGTCTGGTGGGTCAGGTCTCTGCCAGACACTGTCGAGCTGGGTAAGCTCCAGCAGCTCAGCAACTGTGACCAAGTGCACCGCCTTCATGTTGTTGACGTCTGCCGGCAGACCTCTGCATACTGGAATATCCCAATCATCAGGATCTAATCTGGAGGTAATATGCCATCCTGCTGGTTGTGGTTATTTTTTATTTTTCTTATTATTTGTCTTCGTTGCGGCCTTCTCGACGTTCTTGTTTGCTGAAGATGTGGTACCAATAGGCTGCTCTCTCAGCCAGGCATCGATGGCCTTGGTAATCTCATTGGTAGGCAAAGTTGCAATCGTCTTCATCCGTTCCGCCGAGAATTTCTACAGATGATCACATGCTTGCTGGGCGTTGTGGTCCACTGAAGTTCGAGGACCGCACATACTCTCGCTTGAGCTTTGGCAGGAGTAACTCTTGCCAACACATTCGCCACCGTCTTTTTCTGGGTCGGCCCATTACCGTGAAGAGCATGCTGCAGTTTGTTCCAAGCACTGTGAGGTAGCGCCCAGACATAGAATAAAAGTCGCCCCATGCAGCGGCTGCCAAAGAGGACTCCATTGAGACTTTCATCGTATTTGTCATCATGCACCCAAGCACTGATATCATATAAATAACTGCGAGAATATTGAAGCATAAGATATTCCCATTCACCATAACAATCGTATTGGATCTTCGCGTCCATCTCCTCAAAGCTGGACGACACCACAACCGAGCTTGGTGGCCTTGGCCTCGGCCTGCGCCACCTGCCTCTTGAGCTCGTCGTGAACCTACTGACTGTGTTTCGCGACCGCCTTGGGGTCGCGGGCACGTTGACGTGGACCAAGAAGAAGCTTGCTGGCTTCGAAATCATCACTGGAGATCTTGACGAACACCGCCAACTGGGACTCGTCGAGCAGCTTGGGCTTGGCCTTTGCCACCTTGGGAGGCCCGTTGGCCCAGTCCTCCTGTGGAGCACGAACAGGAGGAGAAACTGGAACCACAGGACGCTCAGCACCACACTTATAGCAGTGCTTCTTCCACGCGAAGTTCGTCTTGAAACCGCACTTCTTCTTGGGACAACACCAATCATCGCTGCGACTGAGACTGCCCATGGAACGCAAACGAACGAGGAGCGCCACCGCGCGTGAGGCAAGCCTCCATACACTGATGGGGCTCCTGGAGTCCTGGAGAGAGGAAGAAAGCAGTGGGGCCGCAAATCCCCTTGCCAAAAACTCGCGTCCGCTCGAGCAATGCCTCCGGACTTGAGCCAAAATGGCTACGGATCTCCTCCTCCTCCTCCTCCTCCTCCTCCTCCTCCTCCTCCTCCTCCTCCTCCTCGCGCCTTCTCCCCGCGCCGCATCCGACAGCGACGGCGATCGACCGACCCGGCGGCGGCGCGGCGCGCGCCGAGCTCGCCCCACGGCGCTGCCGCGGCTCCCGACGGCGCCCAGCGCTCGGGGAGCAGCCGCGCCTCGGACGGCGCCCCGGACGCCCGCGGGCGCGGCTCGCGCGCGCCTCGTCGTCGGCCTCCCTGGGGCGCGGATGGATGAGACGAAGCCGGGGCGAGGACCACGTCGGACGAGGACAAACCGATGGAAGCTCCGAGCTCCGGCGGCTCCGGAGGATGTCTCGGCCGCCGCGGACTTCTCACAGGGCGTTCTGGAACGGGGGGCGCAGGCAGAGGCTGCCCGGACGGGCCCCGGTACGGTCGGGCCTGGGACAGGAGGGCATCGCTCCAGAGCATGAGACCCTCCGCTGGCCAAGACACACAGAATATCCAAGGGTCCCCCCCCGAAGATGCAAGAACATCCCATAAGCACGAACAACATGAGGTCATCCTCCCCGAACCGAACTCGATGTTAGCCCTCGGTCCGCCCGTAGGTCATCGCGCCGCATCGGCAACAAATCGGCGATGCGTCGATGATGCAGCGGCGATGCATCGGCGACGTCGGCGATGCAGCGGTGATGTCCGCGTGGAGAAGATCGGGCTCCACATCGAGCCGCATCGCCGATGCGGTGCCGATGCAACGCGATCTTCCGACCCCGTTTGCCCCGATCCCATCTCGGAAGCCCAGCGCAGAGGGGCACACTGCCATCGTGCCACCGCAAGGGAGGAGGAGGAGGAGGAGGAGGAGGAGGAGGAGGAGGAGGAGGAGGAGGAGGAGGAGGAGGAGGAGGAGGAGGAGGAGGAGGAGGAGGAGGGGGGGGGGGGAGGAGGAGGAGGAGGAGGAGGAGGAGGAGGAGGAGGAGGAGGAGGAGGAGGAGGAGGAGGAGGAGGAGGAGGAGGAGGAGGAGGAGGGGGGGGAGGAGGGATGGAGGGAGGGAGGGAGGGAGGAGGAGGAGGGAGGGAAGGAGGAGGAGGGAGGAGGGAGGAGGAGGGAGGAGGGAGGTGGGAGGGAGGAGGAGGGAGGAGGGAGGAGGAGAGGAGGAGGATGGAGGAGGAGGAGGAGGAGGAGGAGGAGGAGGAGGGAGGAGGAGGGAGGAGGAGGAGGAGGAGGAGGAGGAGGATCCCCCTGCCTCGGCCCTGACTCGATGTTCGATGCTCGAGGTCTTCGGGCGTGTTCGTCGGAGGTCGGCGGCCGTCCAGCCTCGGGGGGGTGCCCTCCAGCGGTTGCGCCTCGCCGGAGGCGTGCTCGGGGCTCCCGGGATCGTCCGGAGCGGCCGCTGGAGACCCGACTCGAAAACAGCCCGTCGCCCCCCCTCTCCCCAACTTTGGCGACGAGCGAAGGGGGAAAATGAGAAGGAGAAGGCCTTCTCAGAAGGCGGCGGGACGTCTCAGAAGCCCTCGCGACTTCTGAGAAGTTTTTTCTGTCTTCGGGGAAGGCTTCGAAAACTTCTCAGAAGGCCGGGGGACTTCCGAGATTTCGGATAAGGCCCGCCCCTTCTCACTTACCTCCCTCGCTCGCCGCCGAAACTGATTCTGGATCCGCCGTACTTTGGGCGATTCCGTACGTAGGGCTGAGATTTCCGACCTGCTCTTCAAATCACTCTGATGTGAATGTTGTCCGCCCTCCTTTTCTGTCGCTGTATCCACCCTACTTTTGCGGATGTCCGCCCTGCCTTGTGGACAAATGTTTGGAATCGTCACAAAAGATAAATGGAATCTTCTACACAAAGAGCGGACATTTCCGCTGTACCTTTCTGAGGCGGAGGTTGCCGCCCATTTTTCGCATCTAGTTCAAAATCTGACAGCCAACCAGAACGGCGGATCAAGTAAGGAATGCTGAATCCGCCGACCCTGTCGGCGTGTGAAAGACGCTCTTCCGTCCGTCATCGTCGCCGTCGCCGTCGCCCTTCCCTTCTTTTCCCCGAGGCTCCCTCAAGCGCGCCAGACAAAGCGAAATGAAACAGCAACTCATACTTGAATCGAAAAGAAATATTTTCCCTTTGATCCCTTCCGCGCCGGGGGGGTCTCGGGAGGGGGTCCCAGGGGGTGTCCTGGAGGGGGTCCCGTGGGAGATCCCGGGGGGGACCCGGGGCAATTCAATGCCACCCCCCCGGGAGTGGGGTTCCGCGGTGTGGATTGTTATTGCGTTGTTGTTGCTGTTGCGCTGTTGATTTTGAATACTCATTTCTAAAAATAATTGTTGCTGATCTCCGGAAACGGTTCCACGAGCTCTCGCCTCGACGCCGGCTGCATTTTCTCTGAAAACGAGGCTCCCGTGCGAGCGTTGGCTTGAGTCTGAATGTGGGATGTGGAGGGAGCGCAGGCAGGGAACGCGCTGGCTGCTAGGCGGGAGAATGCGGACGGCCTATAGTAAGGGGTCGGGACGGGGCGGTGCCGTGCAGAAATCAAGGGGTCGGGGCGGAGGGGGCGCGCTGGCTGGTGGGTGGGGGATGCCGGAGGGGCGCGCGGGATGGGGGGGACGGCGACGTGCCGAAATAAAGGTGTCGGGGCGAAGGGGCGCTCTGGCTGGCGGGTGGGGGGGTGCGGAGGGGGCGCGCGGGATAGGAGGGGGGCGGTGCCGTGCCGAACTGAAAGGGTCGGGGCGGAGGGGGCGCGCTGGCTGGTGGATGGGGCGAGGGAGGTGGCGCTCGGGATGGGGGAGGCAGCTCCGTGTCAAAATAAAGGGATCGGGGCGGAGGGGGCGCGCTGGCTGGCGGGCGGGGCGATGCGTTCGGGAGGGGGGGCAGTGCCGTGCCGAAAGGTCGGGGCGGAAGGGGGCGCGCGGGTTTGTAGGTGGGGTGATGCGGAGGGGGCGCGCGGGAGGGGGCGGGGGAGCTGTGCCGTGCCGTAATAAAACGGTCGGGGCGGAGGGGCTGGTGGGCGGGGCGATACGGAGGTGGCGCGCGGGATATGGAGGAAGGGCGTGCCGAAATAAAGCAGTCGGGGCGGACGGGGCGCTCTGGCTAGTGGGCGGGGTGGCGCGGAGGGGGCGCGCGGGATGGGAGGGGGGCGGTGCCGTGCCGAAATGAAGAGATCGGGGCGGAGGGGGCGCGCTGGCTGGCGAGTGGGGCAAAGCAGAGGGGGCGCTCGGGACGGGGGGGGCGGTGCCTTGCCGAAATAAAGGGATCGGGGAGGAGGGGGCGCGCTAGCTGGCGGGCGGGGTAATGCGGAGGGGGCGCGGGGGAGCGGAGGTGGCGCGCGGGATGGGGGGGCGGTGCCGTGCCGAAATAAACAAGTCGGAGCTCTAGACACTCTGTGCAAGTAATTAAGAGAGTCGAAGCGGAGGGGCTGGCTGCGCGGGGGGCGCGGGGGGGCCGGTGCCGTGCCGAAATAAAATAATCGGTGCGGAGGAGGCGCGCTGGCTGGCGGGGGAGGGGGGGCGGTGCCGTGCCGAAATAAAGCAGTCAGGGCGGAGGGGGCGCGCATGCTGGTGGGACTGGTGCTGTGCCGAAATCAAGCGGTCGGGGCCGAGGGGGCGCGCTGGCTGGTGGGACCGGTGCCGTGCCGAAATTTAGCGGTCGGGGCGGAAGAGGCGCGCTGGGGTCGAGGCAGAGGGCTGGCTGCGCGAAATAAAGCGGTCGGGGCGGAGGGGGCGCGCTGGCTGGTGGGAGAGGGGGGCGGTGCCGTGCCGAAACAAAGCGGTCGGGGCGGAGGGGGCGCGCTGGCTAGTGGGACCGGCGCCGCGCCGAAATAAAGCAGTAGGGGCGGCGGAGCGGGCGCGCTGGCTGGTGGATAAAAACATCGGGGCGGAGGGGGCGCGCTGGCTGGTTTGGGGGGTGCGGTGCCGTGCCGAAATACACCCTGCGCAAAAGAAGAACAACTTGTACGGACCTATGAAGAGGGAACGTGGAGGGAGGGTTTATTGCAACATCATCCTGATTACACTGATCCTCCTCCTACTCTTCCTCTTCCTCCTCCTTCTCCTTCTCCTCCTCCTCCTCCTCCTCCTCCTCCTCCTGATTTCCATCACCGTGATGATCTGATCGACGTCGTTGCGACACCACATACAATTCCCCAAACGATCCGGTTGCGAGACCTCGAGATAATCCGCCAACGTGCCGCGAGACAGAGTGGAGTGTCATCAGGTCCCTTTGGGTCCTCGTTATGAGTACCAGATAGTTCCAGCGCTACCGAGCGCTCCTAGGGATTTCGCGTGACTTGCCCTTGAGGCCCGAGAGTCCCGAGGCGGGTCGAGAGGGTCCCAAGGCTGCGATCCAACAGGCCCCGAGACGGTCCAAGAGCGATGCGAGACAGCCAAGGCGAGCTCTGGGAGCTGGCCCGTCCAAATCATTACGTTTGTTCCCCACACCCTAAGTAGGGTTTTTGTTTTCTCTTGACATCCCGCGCAGGAGCAGGAACCCACCTACATCATCACCATCATCAACATCATCATCACCACAACCATCATCATCTGTCATCACACTACATAATCATCATCAGCATCACGATCGTCATGATCATCGCAATCATCACCATCCACAACCACCACCACCAACAACATCACTACCACCACCACCACATCATGATCATCGACCATCATTATCAGCACCATCTCCCACTCAGTCTCTCGCTCACCCACATTCATTCATCACTCACTCAATCGTCGCATGTCAGGACACCATCACGGTCACCGGCCGTCACTCTCATCATCATCATCATCATCATCATCATCATCATCATCATCATCATCATCATCATCATCATCAACTTCATCAACATTAACATCATCATCATCATCATCATCATCATCATCATCATCATCATCATCATCATCATCATCATCATCATCATCATCATCATCATCATCATCATCATCAACATTGCACACATTCCGCCACTCACTCTCTCTCTCTCTCACGCACTCATTTCGAGGAAGTCTCGAGCGGGAGCCTCGCCTGTGAGTGAATTGCGAGGAGGTCCCAACCGGGAACCCCCTCCTGATGGGGCCCGCAACTCATGTTAATAATCTGAACAGGTCATCCAAAAACCTGTGGATTAAAACTTATGGGAAACGCAAGCCCGGACGACTGCCCCAAGGACACAGTGCACAAAAAACGCTGTTTCCCACAATTCGAATTCCGAAT